TAGTGATTTTATAGTGTGCAAATGGGTTGGCTTGGCAGGGCAGGGAGCTTTAAAGACTCACTAAACAATACTGTACTAAGCGTACATAAATATAGACTCCACGGGGGTGGGGGCTTGCCATTTTATAGTCTATAGTTGCTTCATGAAGTTTCATTTTCCTCTCAATCCACCAATTATATCCAATTATATCCAATTATCATCAATCTGTAGTCTCAGGAATGCTTCACTCCGTGGCTTCATGGTAATGGAAGACTGACTGAGCTTCCAATCGAATACCAATTTGGGAAGCTCCGCCGGACTCAGTCAAATGCGGAGCTCACCGCTGAGACCTATGCACGTTCCAGCGCCTATGAGACTATGCGCATGGTCAAAAAGATTGCTTCCAGTAACAGCTCAGGACCCAAGTCTGCCAAGGAAGCACCACTGAGCGAGAAGCGGCTGCTTGTTTTTTAATTTTGATATATTTTGGATGTTCTTAGTTATTTTATGTATTTTTATGTTATTTTATGTTTTTTTTGCTTTTGTGTGTACATTTGTTTTTAGATATTTTTAGGTGTTTTTGTTTAAGGATCTTTTTGGATCTTTCTTATTTTTGAAGTATTGTATAGTATTGTGATCTTTGAGCTCAGTTTCATTCGGTTTCTAAAGTTCTTTCATGTCTTCAGGTTCCAAGAGTGTTGCAGTCGGGCGTTGCAATCTGCAGTGGATCTTGCCGCCTGGGCGTCCGGATTCGAGGCTGAGTCTCTCAAGAAGTACTATCAGCAGTCTGTGGAGGTCAACTGGTTTGAAGCTAAGGACGCGGTAGGTGACAAAGACGAAGATGACAGTGATGAAGAGGAAGCAGAACTCAGAGCTGCACCGTGACTTTGTTCCTGTTCAGTACTGATTTGGGTTCACCTCTGACAATTATGAACCAGATTGTTTTTGTATCTTTGTGGCTGTGCAATCCTGCTTTATCATGTATTATCCTGTATGTTCTCAGGACAGCAAAACAAGCTTGTGACTATGTTTTGAAGCACATTGCCGGCTGCTCTGTCCCCAAAGATGATGACAAAGACCAGCCCGATTTGGCACCTGAAGAGGTTGAGCGTGAGCTAGATTTGTCACGTTTTGGGGAGGCTGACAAGATTGAAGTTTGCCAGGAATTGCATGGAGAAGAGCCTGGGAAGTGGCCTGCTGAAAACGTGTCTCAAAACAAGTTGCCACATACCTTGCTTGATGCATTGCGCCTCGCCTGTCACACTCATCAAGTCTCTAGCGTTGCGCGCAAACGTGGCAAGTCTTTGTCATTCTTTGATGGTTCATGGCGGTTCCAAAATGTTCCACGAGCTTGTTCATGTTTTCCTCAAACATCACATCGTTCAAAACCTTGTCTAGGCATTGCGGTGGCAACCGGTGGAATGCCTTGTGGCGCCTGTGCTACTATTTGCGGTGTGGCGAGAAGGGATCGGACTCAAAGTGGATTCCAAACCGACCCAAGAAAGTTAGAACCAACAACTGGTATCAGAACAACCTTCACTTGATCTCGCAGGCAACCCTGGAACAGAAACCCACTATCCGTCAAGGCACGCGTAGCGGCCGCTTCGAAAGATGGATTCAACAGGGTGCTGAGCAGCGATCCAAGATTTCCTCTTCGTTGACCCAGCCCAATGCCGTGGGGTTCTTTGGAATGATATAGACATACACTTTGTTTTCATTTTGTATCATTTTGTCATATTATTTCAGAATGGAGCTGTTCACTTTTAATTTTGCTTATATAATGTATTTATATATTCCGTATATTTTGATTGATACCCAAGGCCCGGTAATGTGGTCATCATTGTCCGTGGTGATGGATCAATGGCCGTGGGGCTGGTGACTTCGATCTGGAAAGGTGCCAGGAAGAAGAAATTGTCCGTGATGCCATGCGTGCCAGAAAACTGCTTTGGCTTCCGTGTCATCGAGCTCACCCCCACTGAGGCCTTGATTTGCCTGGGGCGGTATGCTGCAAACATGTTTTATCATGTGTTATCATCATTGGTTCATTTTGTATATATTTTTTTTTATGATTTTTCTATTTTATTTTCATTTTTGTGTCTTCTTTTTTGTTGGTGTCAGATTGGAGTCATGTTGAACCAGTTTGATACCCCTGGGCGCCTTGTTAGGGGAAAGCTGAAGAATTTCATTGCGATGCCAGCAGCCGTTGCAGCGTCTATCCGTTCGATGCCTTGCTAGCCGTGCTGAGTTGCAAGCCAGATGGTGATTGGGAGTCAAGTTTACTCTATAAATTTTGTATCCGTGAGTGTACCAGATGAAGCATACTTTCTATACCTCTATGATCCTCTATGTCTAGTTTTATGTGCTATTCATGCAACTGCCGCACTATAATATCAAGTGTTGGACCCCTGTCAGGAGCATATTTTGGGAACCCATACATGAGTTATCAGGTATGCCCCCCAAAGATTGCAAAAGGGTGCTGGGACTTGTATAGCTGTATACCAAAATATGGAGTGTGCAAGGGTTTGAAGCCATGATTTTATAGACAAATATTTTGTTTACGTATTTGTTTGTTTTAAAACATTGACGTGTCCTGCTCAGGATCTCGCAAACCGCATGAGATGCTTGAGACATTCTATGTTGAGCTGACACCGGCATCCATGAACGCTGCGCATGAGGCATTGAAACAAGTGGCAGGGACATGGAAAAGCGGTCAGAACAAGGCTCCTCCGAAGATTAGGCGCCGCAGACTTGTCTTCAAGGCCACAGCGAAGGTTGTGAAGAAAAAGATCAAGGAACAGAAGAAGGGCTTGGGAGCGAGAGCCATCAAGCCAACGGGTGGGAAGGTCTTGAAGCCTGGCAAAGCGCCCATCGAGTGCGTTCCAGAGAACTTTTCTCGGTCTGCTCGCGGAGAGAAGCTGATCCAGGAACAATTGACATCGCTCCGAGATTTGGATAGGAACAGGCACCCGAAGAAGCCTTGCTTTGAAGAACACTCCGGTCTATGCAGACTCCAGTTACTAGTTTTATTCAATTCTATTTATGTATCAAAAACAGTAGACCATAATAGACCCATACAATTTCAATGAGTTTAATCAAGCATTGCAAGACTATCAGTCAGTTTGGCCACGTTAGATTGAGGCTTCCTACTGCGTCTGGACAAACATGGGACGGCGTATTGCAGAAGGCTCCAAAGTTTTTCTCGGCGACAATCCCCACCCGAAACCGAGAACTTTATGGACAACATATCCATGAGCGATTTGAGAGGATCCGAGCACAATTGCTGATGGATGTGCCAGTGAGGAAGGGTTGGCTTCTTTTGCTGCGCGAAATTCTTGAACTTCCATAAGACACATGTTTGCGGGGTGATGTTGCCGCTTCTGAAAGCAAATACAACATAATAACACCATGTCATAGACTGTCATAGTCCCTGTTGTTCACTGGGCAACGCCTGAAATCTTTGTGTCCACAGTGTAGTGTCTCTTGCAGCACGCTCCTGGCGTTTCAACAGATGTGGGGAAGGAGTGCCTTGAGCTAATTGATCCCTGCTCCAGGGGAAATCAAGCGATTTGTGAGTCAATCTTGTTCTTGATCGTTCTTGTGGTATCATATGTTGAAAGATGTATAAAGATGTTAACAGATGTATACAGATGTTCCCAGAAACATTCTGCAGGTTCATGCATTTTCTGTTCTCAGTCGCTTGATGCTTGACAAAGGAGCTTTTGGGATATGGGGATTTGACGTGGAATGCCTAAATTTGGCATGACACAAACAAAAAATTAGATGAACAGATGAACCGTGATAGACCAGGCTTGACATGACGTGCCGCCAAAAAAAGAAGAACAGTCATGCGTGTTTTGCAGTTTGCATCTTCTATCATCTTCTGAATTCTAGTTGTTTCTTTTATGTTTTATATGTTTGTTATTTTTTTAATGTTCTTTCTATAGCTTGTCCTTCTTTAGTATGTGTTTTCATGTCTGTGATTTGTACATGTCTAATTGCCCAGGCTTTCTGACTGCTTATGAGCCTTCCTGCATAGTAGGTTGAACCTGGGGGGGGGGTGATTTTATGTAAATGCTGTGCACCTGGGGTTCCTCAAATCATATCCCTTTGAGGGTGGGCTCCACCATTTTATATCTATAAAATGGCTCCTGGGACCCCCCCAGTGGATTCGACACGGGGATGTTTTTTCATTGTTTCCCGCTGAGATTCGCTTCTCCAGGCTGGACAAGGAGAAGCTCCAGACCTGGACCAGGTGCTCCCGGGTCGTTTCTTCTTTGGTCTACAACACCGGTCGGACGTTTCGGTTCTTTGGTGTACCGCAACGGCGAGGAGGTGTACATAGAGAAAGGGGATGCAGTTGACCGAGAAGAGGCCCCTTGCTGCGTTTTGGGTGTTCTGGGAGTGAGTGACAGTGAGTGGTGATATCCAAATTCAGGCGATCTGAAATTGGGGGTGTGGGGGAAGAGGAGGGACCGTGCAGCACATAGCAGCCAGATGCAAGTTGGTCGGTCCAGCTGCTGGAGGGGGTCCGGAACCATCGGATTCAACACTTAGAATCCCTAGCGAGTCCCTGGGTCCTTAGGGAGTCCCTGGGTGCTGCACTCCCCATTGATCCTCACGAGTTCACGTCAGGCTGCCACCCTTGGAGAGAGCAGCGCTGGCCACGCGCCTGCGGGCTTTGAGCAGTGGCTTACAGCGTCACGTGGCGCAACTCTGGGAGACGCAGCGGATAATAACCATGTTCGGGGACTGGATTCCTTAAGACTCCCAACTATATAGAAGAGAATATCCCGACTAAACATCTATTTTTCTAACTATTTGGGGACCCCTAAGCTAGAAATCCAACACCATGAGTTGGTGCGCTTGCCGTCGGCCTACGGACTATTTTGAGCCATGTTCTTTTCCGCTTTTCCGGCGACCCGCACCACACCCATGTGGGTAGTAGATTGGTAGGACCCAGATAGGAGAGCTGGACAGAGAAGTTGCCGCGAATGTCTCGCAAGGCACCGCCAACGCCATCCATGAGGTGGTGGAACTGGAGCGTGCCGCCGAGCAGGATCTCAGCTGTGCGCAGTGGATCCGCGAGGTTCGTAGGGGTTTCCCAGAAAGTAGCTGGAACGTATTCCATGGAAGTGGAGCATAGCGTAGGACTCTTCACCGATTTTGGGGCGATGGTTTTTCTTCAGCAAGAGTACCCGGAGTAACTGTTTTTCTTCAGCAAGAGTACCCGGAGAAACCCACCGTATATTTATTAGGTCTTGGCCTGGCGTGGCTTGCTTTCAGTGAATCCTGAGGCCATCCTGCAAGCTCACCAAGGTCTAGAGAGAGAGAGAGAGCAAGAACCTAGTGAGGGAGCGGTGGCTGGGGCCTACGAGACACGGACGTCCTGAACACCGGCTCAGCTGGATCTCGAAGCTGAGACTCCGGGGAGCTCCCTAGCCGCTAGCCTGAGACGTCCAGAAATATCAAAGCCCCACTTTAGGACCTTTATGCACTTGATCATCCATCCCTTCACGCACCTCATTCAAGCGATCTGCCCATCGCTGCCCATCTCCGCGAGGAGCCTTCGAGCGCCGCTCAAGCGAGCCTCGCAGATGAAGTACGGTGTCAAGGCGCCACGACCGGAACCGCCGCGGGGCCGTCGGAACTGCTTCAGAACTGGGGGCTCTCCTGTTCCCTAGGGCTCCGAAATACCTTCTGAGACGATGTTTGGGGTGGGTTTAGAGGCTCCAAATACCTTCTGAGGAGGTTCGACTGGAGCGGGGAGCCCTAGGGGTTCTTATTCTCATTGAGCGGGCCGGAGCTCGGACCGCGGGCCCCTTCACCCCTTAGCTAGTCATAACAGCTGAAGGCTTTCAGGAAGCTCCGGTCCGCCCGGGTGTGCAGAACATGTGGCTTTTCTTTGCACCTGCTTTGCAGACGGGTGTCCGGATTTGAGGTGGAGGATTTCATCCATCCATCGCTGGGTAAGTCTCACCTGGAAAGTCGTCCCACAAGCCACAAGCCATGTCTTTTTCCACTGGCTTCTTCTCATCGCAGCTGGATCTCTGATGGGCTCTCCCCAACCCCCCAGAATTCGATGGGCAGGTGCTCCAACGTGCGAAGAAGAGCGGAGTAGCAGAGGATCAGGACGTGTCTCACGAAAAAACGTGGGTGGCTGCCCTTGGGGAGTCGTTGGTGGCAGATGAATATACACTCCTTGGAATTAACATGGAAGTGGAACATGCCACCTTGGAAGACAATTGTCCTGTACAAACAGGAGGTTTTCCACTTCCATGTTAGTTCCAGGGAGCGTATATCAATTGATCAAGTCATAACTTTGACTCAATTTACCATCATAATGTTTGGAGTTGTGGTTCCTAAATGCATGTATTTGAAGTGTGTGTGTGTGTGTGTTGCCAGATTTCATGCCCTAGGATCCAAGTGATATTCCACACCCATTGGTATACTGAGCATAACGTCCAATGTTGGTTCATTAACCTCCCCCGAAAAGGGGATGAACATCAAGATGCCAGGACCCTCTTTTCGGGAGTTCCATTTGTCTAGCTCCTTAGAGGTGAACGGGGTTTCCATCAACCAGCCTAGCCGTGGGTCCTGGTATAAAGATTGAACATTGCTCCATTCTATACCCTTTTCCACTGTTGTTGTCTTCATCCCACCTTCGAACGTCCACAGGATCTTTGGCTGAAACAACTGGACGCGCTGCTGGCGCTCGAGCTGCCGGAGCAGCAGAACGACGGCGTGGCTGTGCCACTTGGAGCTGAGGAAACATTCTGAAAACCTGAAGAGGGAGCTGCCACAACAAATCATCAAGCAGAGCTGGCAACTTCTTGTTCTCATTCCGGGCCATAGGGGAAAATCCATTGCTCCATGTTTGCTCCATTTTGATGGACCTTTGCGAGCCGAGAGCCTCTGCGTTGGGACTGGTTTCGTTGAGTTTTGCCACTTCAGAAGCTGCGACAGGTTGAGCTTCCGGACAATTGGCGGAGTCATGGTCTTAGCGTTTTTCAGTAGCTCGCTTGTCAACACAGAGATCCGGGTGGGTTCGTGTTGGACAAATGCCACCATCAAGCACCCTGTCGGCAGCTTTTGGGCCGCATCCGCATCAGCCGCTGGGCTAGAGAATGCTAGAGATGTCAGGCGATCGATGGTCACGGGTGCCGCGGCACTGGAGCAGTTCCAGGAGATGAAGCAGATGGCGCCACAGCTCAGGTGGGAGAAGTACTCAGAGAGGAGATAGTGGGCTCACCCAGATATACTCAATAAATCTCAAGCACTTTCAGTGGAGATTCACTTGGCTTCCTATTGTTTTGGGGTCACGTCCCCCGGGCGGTCATAATATGGGTCGGTTTCATTTTTTGAAATGTTCATAGATCGAGGGCAGTGGGATTGTAGGGCAAAGCAAGCAACGCCGCTGATGCTGGGTACGTGCTGTTAGGATACCCTTGTTGATTCACGACTTATGGTTTCGATGGCGTGCGTGTGATTCTGCTGACTGGAAACATGAATTCTGAATCTCTCATGCAGAACGTGTTCGATTGCTGCATCTTGTCTTAATTATATATATTAGCAGATTAGTGGGGCAAGCTTGGAAAGGGCGTGCACAGTGTGATTGGGAGGCCCCTCCAAAAGCAAAAATAACACAAAACAAGTTCTTGAGCCTGTGGATTGTCCTGTGTGTCCCCATAAAAATGGGTTGAGATCATGGTGCGCATGGTGTTTGGCGACAAACCCGGTGACCCGAAGCCACCCGAAACTCGTGAAAGGACCGGGTCCTGTGGCTTCTCTCGTGCCTTCAGCGCTGGGCCGGATGATTGAACGATGATCAGTGGAGATTGGAGAAACCCACTTACAACATTCTTACAACACAATAGGAAGGCTCACACACTGAAAAGAAAAGAACCACTCATCGCATAGTAGATATACATGATGCCACATGGTCTCGGACTCTTCCACTGAAAACCACCGAGATTTTGGTGTGGTTGATTGAACCCAAAAACCCCTTTCAACCCATGGAAGTCTTCCTTCTCCTGGTTCGCCCCAGGGCGGCGCCCCCTTCGTCCCAGGAGCCTCCGCCCCTCAGCCGCGCTCTACAGCTGCGGCGCCGTCGGCGTGGCGCTGCGGCTGCGGCGCTCGGACGCGACGGAGGTGGAACCGTGGCGGCTCGGAGGGGTCGGAAGGTCTGGTGGGCTGAGTTCGTCAGGTGTACCTAGAGGTGGCCGCTGAAGGCGGCTTTAGTGGTAGGAAAGTATTCAACATGTTTGGATTGAAGGGGAGGTCTGTGAGGTGTTTGGCGTCTTTAGCCATAGAGTCAGCCCAGAAGCAAGCAGGAGCTGTAATTGTATAGTATATTTAATATCCGATATAATCCGAAGGACTTTTAGCCGTACGGTATAAGGTATTATTGTAGCCGCATGAGATCGTATGTGAGGATTGCAGTTCTGTTTGATGCTGTTTGCAGGGATTGTGAATGATGTGAGTTAATGATTGCGAGTGAGGATTCTGACAAAGGAATTGCAAGACTACCACAGAGACGGTTGTTGCTGTATTTCGCTCCACCTTGAGAGCGAACTGAGGCTTCTTTTGGTCGAGCACGCCGCGAGCCCAGTCTTCCCTTCCCGGGCGCTGGAGATACTTTAGGACATGATAGGACATATGGGACCATTCAAGCATTTCGGACCTAACTCGCTTCAACCCGAAGATCGGAACAAGAAAGCATCGCCCACCTCCACTCCTGCCCTCATCCTGCCTCGCTGAGGTCTCCACATCCTATGTCGATACTGCGAGTGCTGCGTTGTACCTGGATGCAAACCAGATCCTCCACGATGATGCGGGGGAGGCGTATGACATCGTATGACGTATGCCTCGGTGGCGTACGGCGTATGCGTGGGGGGCCGGGGGGGGGGCCAGTTCCGAGTGGCTAAAAAGAGGGCCATGGAAGTTGGGCCAACAAACGTTCCGGCCGTCCCCAGCAATAGATGACTTGACTTGGATGCTTAATGAGGTTTGGGAGTGCTTCAAGCAGTTGATTAGCATGTCCTTCTCTCAAGGTCTGCATTTCAAGAACCAACGGGCCGTCCTTGGGAGGTGGCTCCGGATGTGGCGGTCTTGGCAATGGAGCCCGCGGCTGCTTGACTGATGTACTTCGCTACAATGCAGTGGTTCATCACCAACATTCATCATCAGCCATCAGCGGAGATTCCTTGATGTTGAATTGTATTTTGTTACTACTTGGAGGTTGGAGGCCATCGCTCTTCGGTTGGAGGCCATTGCTCTTAGGTTGGAGGCCATCGCTCTTAGGTTGGAGACCATCGCTACTATAGGTTGGAGGCCACCGCTAGTAGGTTCAAAGAGCTTGTTATCACCAGTTTGGGTGACATTTGGCGACCGAGGACTTCTACAAATGGTGTCTTGGCAGTTGAAGGTAGAGAGTGAGTGCGGGTAAATTCCATGTGAGTGGATACGGTAGTGCTGGAAGTCTACAACAAGAACTGGCTTTGTGATTAGGCCTCAATACCATCTCATTCTTTCAACACATGAGGGCCTGCGAGCCTGAAGGCAATGACATGATACCAGTGGACATATAATTCCTGACTAGGAATGCTGAGAGCTGAGACAAAAGTGACAGATCATGACTCTTCACCAAGAATGCCAAGAATGTGCATCAATCTTCCCTTTTTCGTTGCTGGTGTGGCCATTTCATTGATATGTCGACATGGCATGGTGGATCTTGAAGCTTGAGGTTTAGGACCTCGGAGATGTACAAAAGCACCTGGGGCTGCAGAGTCAGTCGGTGGGCGGGACCTGGAGGGCACCGTATGACTGGACACGCATGGCACCCACCCCAGTCCCACCTTCTCAGAAGGTATTTGGAGCCCTAGGGCCAAGAAACCCGCAAAAGTTGGGGCCGCAAACCTGAAGCGGGTGCATCCTGGATCCGAACTCTTGCAGCCTGATGCATCTGAGTCGTGCATGAGACCACGTTCCGAACAATCAGATGACGATAGAACATGGAATATGGATTATGGATTGGTTCAGTTCACTCGTTAATTTTGTAAATAAACTGCATTATTTTCGCATTTATTATTTAGTTTAGCTTGGCAGTAGCTAGGAGATGCTGGGAGCATGTACCTTGTCAGTCGCACGAGGGAAACCAAACCGAAGAGGGGGGGGGGGTGTTGACCGGTTCGGAGCCCTGGGTCCGCCGCTTCCTCCGCAGCATGTGACGGTCCCTGCGCCGCGCGGGCGCCCGCCGGGGCGCCGGAAGTCGCCGGTGCCGGTCGCGATGAGCACAGAACGTGCGAGATGACGCTGGATGGAACCTCTCCCTGGATGGGAGGAGAGGGGTGAGGGCTGATGGGTCGGAAGGCTGATGAATGGGCACAGTGGGCCAGGTTGGGTCCCAGTTTTGGAATCGAGATCCCGTCAGTGAGCATATTCAAGATGATTTCTAGAAGATCTGACTTGAGGCGCCTGGGGCCTAGCTTTAGACTTATTACAAGTGTGACGCACGCAAGTGTCACGAAAGGGAGGCCCTCAGGGTACCGTGAGTTTGTTGTTTCGACGTTGAGCCCTTTGAAAGACCTCATGGTCTATAAGAGTTTTGTAGCCGAACCTCCCAACCTCTGTCTACTCTAATCAGGAGGGAACGACTGAGGGTCGTGGTCTCAATATTCAATATTCCATACATATCCATACCCAGACCCTCCATGTATGCCATTTATACCTACATTGACCATCATTGACCCCCCAAACCACCCTAATGTAGGCAAACTATGGCGCATACATGAAGCTTCTATGCACAACATATGGCATACATGTGATTCCATCTTATTCCATACATCTTCTCCTATATAACACCTGTGCCGGCCATCCTCATTCCCGAGCGGATCACGTTCACCTCTTCCGTCCGGCGCCATGATCGACTCTGGTCGCCAGACACGACCTGTCGACAGGGACTGGCGTATTGACCTACATTGACCCCTTTTCAACCACCCCAATGTATCCCTAGGGATCCAAGTACCTTCTCAGAAGGCACTTGGACCCTCCAAACCCACCCCAAACACCTTCTGAGACGGTACTTGGATCCCTAAATTATGTAAATATGCCATACATAGAGCGTCTGGGCCAGGACTTCCACCAGGACTCGCTCCTCCAGTTGAGGCTCTGCGCCTTCTGCGTGCTCGGCGTCGCGCTGAGCGCAGCCGGACGATGGGTGGAGGGCAATGCCATGGGCGGTCTCAACGACTTGGTGTGGCCGCCTGGAACTGTTGCCGTGGGAGCCGAGCGCCAACGCAGTCCGCGCGGCGCCAAAATGATCGGGAGATGGGGCGAGTGGGCGGTTGATGGGAGATGAGAGTGGAAAGGCCAGCGAAATCCAGCGACACTTAGTGGAAAGAAGGAATGGAAAGCCACTAGTTTGGGGGAGGAAAATCATCATCCAAATCTTCAGAAACCATTTTATCACTTCCATGATTATTTCAGGGAGTGTAGATTTCAATAACCCCACCACCCCACGACACAGAAAGAGATGTACCGGTGTTTTGCCGCGGATCCTGAGTGTTGCTGCACAGTGGGCCACACCCAAAGTTTCACTGGGTCAATTCCGTAGATCATCGTAGATCTATATAGTCAATGTATAGTCATTTCAAAGATATACAGACAGAGTCGCGGATGACTTCGATTGATCTCACGAAGTAGAAAGTGATCCACCTCGCCAGGTGGCTGCCGTCTTTGGGCTGGTGCTCTTCCAAGATCAGCTTTGGCGGCTCATGGGAGGCGTCTGGCGGGTTTTTGAGGTCTTCCCAGACAGGCGATCTCTTGGAAGATGTGATTATTTTTCACGTCCCATGGATGGGGGTGTTGAAATGTTCCGGTTCGTGATCCTTAGAAGCAAAGACCCGTTGTTTATAGGGTACCAGAATTAGTTTAAGGATGTTTAAGGGGAATCTACAGTGACCTACTTGTACAGCAACATAATTGAATTGTGGGTGTGTTGGAAATCGTCTTCGTCGCCCTCCCCCTCTTCAAGAGCAACAGCACCAACGAAAGCATCTGCCAAACCATCTCAGACCTGCCGAGATTGAGGCTGCGGAGACGAACCGTGCGCCACCTCTGCCCGTGGCTCCAACTGTTTGGTGCCCTTTGTGCTGCTCGCGCTGATCAACGCGCTCTTCGACTCGCTGACCTTGGCGCTCAGCTGCGCCGACGCTCAGGACGTACGAACTCAGCGCGCGAACTCGGCTCCCAGAGGCTCCAGTTGAACCTTCTGAGGTGCCAGGGGGACGAGTGGAGCCCCACAGGGTTAGGAGTTGGGACATATTTGGACTGGAACCCTACTAGTAACGTCCGGTGGGTCACGCTTTTGTGACCGCACTTCGGGAGAAGCGGTGCTTCGCCGGACTGGGGTTGAGCGGTGGATGCTGGGGTGCTGCGGAGGCGTTTTTGGACTCAGGTGGACCTTCACTGACTGACTGACCTGTGGTCCTTCACTGCCTGCGCGCGATTTAGAATGATTTGGTCCAATCCCATGCGCACCAACGGCGGCTGGCCGCGCACCAACGGCGGCCATCACTCTTCCAACAGTGGCGAAGAAGGCGCAGGCCTCCGATCCTGCTTGAGCCATCGGGCCCACCACCGGTGGGGCTCCGATCTGCTTGAGCCATCCAGTGCCCCACGCATCGACCAGACGAGTGGGGAAACATCGACCAGTCTACCGGTGACGACTCTTATACAATGCAAACCATTGCCAACCCAGTATGAGCGACCAACAAAATGGTTGGCTATTGTCAAGGGGTGACCCCGAACTATGTTGAGGGCTTTGTCTGTTGAGGGCTTATGATGCCACTACCCGACCGATCAGTCGCAGCATTTGCTGTGTGGAGTGTTTGGGTATCATTGGCATTCATTGGCCACCTGCCACCTGCTGCGTTGGGGTTGAAAGAAGATCCCTGCTCTTGCGGATCAACCATACATGGCGGGTGGAGCTACAAAGTGCTTGTGACCCTACGGGCCAGAGAGTTCCCTTTCTACAAATCTTAGCGAGCGCCGAGGGCACTTGCAAAAGAAAATGAAGACCTCGCGACTCGCTAATATGTCCCTATGCCTAGACGACCTAGTCTTGGACCCTTGTTAGGCAATCATTTCCACCCAACTTCCTTTGGGCAGAGAAAATCGGCGTGTCGCCTGTTTTTTTGCAAAGAACGCCTAATCAGCACCCTCGACAGGCAAGCTTGCACACGACAGGCAGAGCCAGAATGATGTTTTGGAAGAACCTGATGCTAGCTACAGCGCCTAAGTGGGCAAGATTGCCTAAGCAATGGGCAAGAAAGCCTACGCAAAAGATGCAGAAAGTCAACCATTTGGAAAACAATGAAATTACTCATGAAGCAAGATGCAAGAATCCAAGATTAGTGAATTCCTCATCAAGCACGTACAGTATTTCAAGTGCCTGGTTGTGGGTGCTCATCCTCAGTATGGGATCTCCGGCTACAGTGCTACAGGAGAGAAGAACGCCTCAGTACAAGTACATGGTGCCTTTAGCCACATTGATAGGCATTTCTATACATGGTAAGACGAGTGAACTTGAGCATATTCCCCTTACCAGCCCCCTTAACCTCAGTATTTCTTAACGCTTTGAAAGCCGACATTGGGCTTCCGAGGATTGTTTCCAGTCCCTCCAGCAAGCAAGTTCAACTCTCTGCAGCGGATGTTTCTTCACCTTCGCCGCGGCGCAGCTTGGAACAAGCTGCACCCCACACACGTGACTGTATACACCTGGTGTGATACATACTGTGTTTCTGAAAGCAGCACACATGCATGGATTGTAAACCTTGGATGGGGAGTTGAAATCTCATCCAGAGATATCGTCCAGAGTCTACACTACAAGCTTTTCCATTAGCCCTTGTGGCCTTGAGCCACCCGACGCGCTGATCACAAACAACCATGTGTCAAAACCCGATGCATTTTGCCATATTGGACCTAGAACCCCAACCATGCCCTCCAAATCCTTCCTTTCTCTCCCAATATCCTGAACTGCCCCCCCACATCACCCCCCCCTTTTCACCTCGGACCCTCCAGCCTCGGTCTCCCTAACCTCGCTTCGCTGAGGCTCTTTCAGCTCGCCGGCGCGTGGGTGGCCTTCCAGATCTACCGCGCGAGGCCCCAAAGCTCGGGCTACAGCCTGGTCCCCTCGGGCGATGCGGCACCCGACCCCGCGGACGCGCGCGCGTCCGCGGCGCCTGAAGCGCCGCTTCATGCGGCGGAGGAGCAAAAAAGGCGGCCGGTGCGGCTGGAGGGAGGTTTTGGCCAAGTTTCTGGCTGAAAGGACCTTTAGGAACTTTTGAAGACATGCCGCGGAATCTTCTCTCACATGATCTCACATGCTAGATTCCCAAGATCCTTACTGTACAGATTACTAATGATTACTACGTACCTCAATGTCCATGATTCACACACTTCGCAGGGTGCAGGATGGTGCAGGTGATTGGTTGTCTCTTCTGAGAAACTCCGCATCTCAACCTTTAGCTGGCCGGAGCCAACCACCACACGCCGTCGCTAGATCCCCCTTCGTCGGAGTCATCGAGCTGTTAGACCAGGAACTCGGAGAACGGAACCCTTGGCCATTGGGAGGGTTCTGGATGTGCCGGCCCGCATGGCTGAGGTTATTTGGCCATGGTGTTCACGCGCAATCCTTTGGGCCAAGTACCAGGCTGTGGGGCGTTGAGTAGTAGCAGGATGGCAGGTGTGAGAGAGGTGCAATCCGAGTGAGTTTGATGTGTTTCAAATGACAATTTGGGTTTGTTTGTCTCGGATGCGTTCAACCATGCCAGCCAACACTAATTGGACCAGGCCCGCAAAACTGGAATCCCGCCACCCTCAAGTTTTTGTGGTGATCAACTGATCGGCAACATCCCTAAACCTGGACATATGACATTGTCACTGGATGTGTTCCCTTATCTTCCTCCTGGTCTTGCACCTCAACTCTTCTCTGAACTGGGACCTATCCAACCATCTAGCAAAGGCGCCCCAGATTCTTTTTTGGGCCCACCCCACCTTCCAGCAATCGCAGGTTTTCGCACGTGCCAGACGGCGTGTTTGCGCTTATATAATTGATGTCGGCTTTTCCGGTGTTTTCTTTGGAGGGGCCCTGCAGGTCAGGCCTACGCCTTGCCCGTGATCCTTTGGGTGAAGACCGCGGAGCTGTTGATCTCCCGCGCGCCGAAGAGCTCGAGCCAACGCGACCCAAGCGACGCGATCCCCAGCGAGGAGAGGGGAGCGTTTTGGAGACGGTGGAGGCAGTGCCCATGGGGTGCAAGTTTCGACGTGAGGCAGGTGTCAGTGGGACCAGTGGGGAAAGAGGATTATTTTCAGATCAACTTTTCCTATGCCAGGCCTGATCAGGAGCATCCGTGGAATACAGTACGTGTTGGAAGTAGAATACGTGCAGGTGTTTGAGGTCGGATCATGCAAATTACACACACGGTCTCATTGGTGGCATACTCCAGCACCACCCAGTCAGGATGGTCAACCCCAGGGGAGACTGTAAACCAGGTGCTTCTGGCCGTGGTGCGAACGGCCTTGGCCGACGAAAACAACGGCTTTCGCTCCGATCTCCGGTAGTAGACCATGTCTTGGGGGGCTCCAGGACACGGAGGGCAGCGTGGCACATGGACCGTGGCTGCACCGTTCGACCCCCTCTGAAGACGATGACGCACATCGATCGACCTCGCCACCTCGCCTCGCCGTGCGTTCCGGCCGTGAGGAGGCCCAGTGGTTCCGCGCCATGCTGCGGATCCACCTGACAGCCGCTGAGACGGTGCGACAGATGACCCAGAGCCGAGGCGCCTCACTCCAAAAGAGAGATCACTCCGACTCACAGGTCCATGGAAGTGGAACACTCTCTGGTTGCAAGGGAAAGTAGTCTTTTCTACTTCCATGTTTAGTGAGCCAGAGTGTAGACAATCGTGAATGGAAAAGGGTGAACATTCCCTCGTGCAAGCGTTTTGAAGATCGTTTCTGATGATGTTTCTATAGACTGATTTTTTGAGGTTGCCTATAGTACTGACATGTACTGACCAACACGTTTCCGACCCAAGATGCCCGGGCTTTGTGGGAAGACGATTCCAACTCGGTGCGTTTGGAATGGTTTGGGAGGACGGTGCCCAGGTCCAGGCCAAGGGGCTACAGGAGTCATGCTCCTTTTTCACAGTCTAGAACTGCCACCTGACCTTGGTACGTACGCCTCTGATCAGGGCCCCTCAGACAGACGTGCCCCGTCTCGACCACGGCAGGTGCCACCAGTGAGCTGGCTGAGGCGCTGGCTGGGCCAGATCCCAGCGCTGCCTTGACCGAAGCAGAAGGACAGTGGGGCCTGTAGTGCGCGGCAGGGGGGTACACAGAGAGAGATTTGTGCAGGCATTTTTTCCCGGTTTTGGCGAGGTTTTTGGCCTTGGACCTTGGAATGTGGTGAGTTTCTGGAGGTCATAGTCACACATAGTCATACATACTGTGATTATATGTGATTATTGACCTTGAATCTTTGAGTTTGTTTTCGACAGTTTGTTGGGCTCAACCCGAAGGAAAGGGAAAGGTCGAAGGATGAGAATGTAGAACCTTCAATCTGTGACGCCACCCTTGCCAGGCTCAATCACCCTTTTTGAAGCCAAAACCTTGTTCCCACTGGACAATAAGAAAGGAAACTAAACAATGCCGTCCGAATGGGGTCCTTTCACCACCCTTTGGATGATAGACCGAAAGAGCCAAAGTATAGCTTAATAGTCATGAAAGAAATGGCGTATACAATAAGTATCGATCAATTAACCAGTGGAGTAGGGGTTCTTACGGTAAGAGTCAAGGACCTCGTGTTGTGCTCGACTCTTCTTGACGATGTGCAGAGATTTCGTGGCAGATGCAGCGAATCGGACATGGGACGTCTCGAGCGAAAGCTGTGCTTTGGCATCTTGATGTCTTTGATTGTGCTCTTGCTGTGAATCGCCTTGGTAGGGCTGCGTGATGTGAATCTTGAGGTGCAGATTTTGTGGCAGTCGCACTACTTTGTTGATCTTGAAGTCTAGATTTCGTGGCCAGCGCGGCGCAGGACTCCACCATCACCATCACCACCGACCACCACCATCATCACCATCACCACCATCACCATCACCACCGCCATCACCATCACCGCCACCATCAACATCATCACCACCACCAGCACCACCATCAACATCATCACCTCACCACCATCACCTTTCTCTGGGGCCCAGATCTCTATACCTTCGGTTCCCACACCTTTAGAGCTTAGACCTTTAGACACACTGTTTGGGGTCTTGTGCCGGGATAATTTTCATTTGGCACATCTCATCATCTCATAGCAAACATAAAGGTGGAACAAACCGAATGAGATTTTTGGAATCTCCCAGATCAAATTATTAATCCACAGATTTGGGGATTCGGCACGCTCAGGAGGTCCGCAGTCCGTGTGTTTAGCCTTAGCTGCTTGTTGCTTCGCACCGTCGGCGCTGCGCAACTTCTGGGGCCAGCGGGGGCTGGAGTTTCCTGGATTTTGAAATGTTGGGGTGCTGGAGCTGGTGGAGTTGGTGGGAGGCAGGACTCTAGAATCTAGAACAGATTTATAATTATTGATTCTCATTATTATGATGACCTATGATGAGAAGTCAAAACAAAAGAGGGAACACGAGAATGTCCGAAACGAGACTTAAGGAGTTGCTGGTGAGTAGGGTGTTTGAGTGTGTGGTGCAAAAGTCGCCGCCTTTTTTTGCCCTGGAAACGTGAATGTTTGGAAAAACAACACTGAAGAAACCAACTGTTCAGTCAGCAACATATGGGAAAGGAACAAACATGAGTCACAGGCAAAGGCACGAAAAACAAAACACATGGACGACTAAGGGGAAGGAGCAGGAGGAGAAACACACACATAACACGAATTTAATGTGTTTTTTTTTTCTGAATTCAGTATGCCTACCATACTTAAAGTGTATATTAGATTGTCGTGTTGCCAACAATTTTTGATTCCGGTAATTTGTTGGTAATGTTTTGGGTTATTGAATGAGTATTGGAACAGGTCTTCCAGTCAAAACCACAGATTGCTATTGGCAGGTGGTTTGCATTGGCTCTGCGCTCAAATGACTGAAGTATGTCAGCATCGGCCCCCCTTCACTGATGGTTCAAGAGGAGCATTGAGGGTGTTTTCTTCAATATACAGGGCTGTCCCCCACCCTTATTTTCCAATCGTAAATTGTCACTCTTGCTAGCCAGGGCCCGTGTAGACCACCGGTTTTGGCGTCTGGGGTAAGAAAAGAGGTCCGAGATGAGATCCATTGGCCTTCATTCGGTTCTCCCAGAAATTACGTGGTTCGGTCAATGCGTACGGTACTAGATTGGTTTCGGAAAGAGCATATAGCTGGTAGTGGCTACCCCCCCGACGACCGGAAGAGAACGGTTTTACTGCTCAAAATTGGTATGACCCACCACGGCATGGGCCCCATGGCATGGGATGGTGGGGCATTGAAAACTCGTCCACTTCCCCGGTTGAGGCGGCCGTTTTCGCACCCTCGATCGATCCAGGTTGGCGAGGTCCAGGAGCTTGCAGCGACGCTCGGCCGCGCTTTCAGTGGCCGCGCGGTTCATGTGGGTTTCGCATGTTCCCTTCGCGGTGTTTCGTGATGTTCTTGGTGGTCTCCGCTGCGGTTTTTTTCGCGGTGCCGCTTGTACGAGAGGCGAGTCTCTGCAACTTGCCGCACCCAGGTGCGGCAGGGTTGATCTCTTAAGATCAGATTTCAAGAGCTCATGAATTCGAAGGATACACCCGGGAAGAAACCCGCATGGAACCTGATGGCATGGACCAGACTGGAAGACTACTTTCCTCTACAACCCGGCGTGGTTTTTCAGGTTCTATGTTAATCTTCCCGGGTGTACTTCAAGAATCTCTAAGATTTGACACCGCACAGCATCCTTTGGCGCACCAGTTTGTTCAAACATATTCGGATATGGTTTAGATATGTTCAGATCATTTCAGGTTCTTTTTCTCACGCAGTTGCCACCATATGTTATGGACTACTGTGGACTAATATGGACGCTTCTATTTCGATGTGTTTTCCGGCGATCGATCGACACGTGCATTTGATATCGGACTACTATGGACTCCTGGACGCGCCAAACGATGTGTTTTCCGTCATGTGATCCCTTAGAAACTCAGATCTTGACCAAGGTGCCCACTCCAAGACGTTGCAACGTGGCGAGGAGGCGCGAGAGCGTGCGAGGGGAGGCGCGCGAGAACAGCGTGGAGGGAGGAGTTCAGGGAGGTAGTTGGGATCCCTTCAGGAAAAGACCTAATTAACACTTTCATGGCACCCCGAGCAAAAAACACGTGAACATGTATCCGTGTTAGGAAGCCATCCCAAAATGCATCAAAATGCTCTAATTCGCGTTTTGGAGTGCACAAGATAGAGATGTCCCACGATATCCTTGATTTTTTCGCCTCCAAAGGGGCAGCCATCCACTTCCATGTGACCTCTTCGTTGGCCCAACGACGACACAGGACGACCGTGCTGGTTGGCCCAAGAGGCTCCGACGCTTAGCGTTGGCCATGATGGCCGAGGAGGGGGGCCGAAGGAACGACGGGCGGGACGGGCGGGTGAGGCAACCACCAATCCAAGGCCATCCATGTATAGAGTTACTTACATGGATGGGTCATAAATGGGGGACTCTCCCGCAAACGGACCACATGGAACCCGAGAATGGACCGGTGGTTTCGAGCATGTTCCGAAGACCAACCCAGGTGGTTTTGGGGTTCCATGTTAATCTGTAGGGGAGTAAATGCATGTAACATATTAATCTATATATCACTATTCAAGTCACTATTCCATATACATCGATGCTTTGGGAATGGCCAATATGGCCAATATGGCCAATGGATTCACGAGATTTTAGGAGTTGCCCAGTTGATCATGGAGATTTTCTGAGGATTCTCGCATCTTCTTGCCTATTCTGGGAACCTGTAGGGGGAACCATTGGGAACCGAACCGTAGGGAACCACAATTCGCCGGAAGACTGGTGCTTTTCGATCGGTTTCTGCATGAGTTTGCGCGGTGTGTAGGGACTTGAATGCTGTATGCTGTATGCTTTCCGCCGTCCGGCGGCGCACTCGACTGGCCGAACGGAACGGCCGAACTGGAGCGGTCCCACCCGGGCTCCAGCGTGTTTGCATCGGACCGCATGTGCTGGGTGACGTTTCGTTCCGATCTGTTCCGACGCCCGTTCAGATGAGGTGTCCCCACGACTGGCCACATGGTGTCCCCACCTGGTGGGACATGCTGAAGTCTGAAGACCTCAGTGTTTTTGGTGGCTGTGCCAAGAATATGAGCCCTGAAGCTCCAAGTAGCTTCTAAGAAGGTGGGACTGCGGTGGGTGCCAGGAGGGTCCAGTCATACCTAACCGGAGGTACGACTGGAGCCTGATCGGGGTCTGACTTCTGTGCTTCACCTCGGTAGTTCACTGGGCTTCCGTGACACGGAATGACATGAGGCGCTACCGTGTTCTACGCGGTCCGGTCCGCACTTGGTGTAGTCGGATTTCCGTGCCCATCTCGTTTCTGTTGAGTGAAAACAACTGAAACACGTGGTTTTTGGATCCCCTGCCCGGGTCAAGACTCGGCCGAGCGCATCAGCACAGCTGGATGCGGTGCTCGACCTGAGTGAGACCCCATGTTTGCCGGTCATAGAGGTCCAAAAGATGGCGCGTGAAGTCCAGAGGATGCGGAAGAGTTCTTTCCTGCTGAGATCGTGTGAGATGGGAGCAACCTTTTTTTTGGTTTGGTTTCACATGTTTTTTTCCTGTTGTTGCCAGTGTTTTGGGTGTCGCCCCAGCACCGGCGTATCATCCCACCTGGACATGCCAGGCTGTGTCAAGGGCCTGCCGCCGGCTGGTACGATCTGTTTGTGTCCTGGTGGAAGAAGAGTCAGCGTTTGGCCTCGCGGTTGGGTTCAGGGGAATGCAAGGTGACTGAACAATGAGGCGTTCAGTCACCTTGCATCACCGAAAAAGGATCATGAACGATCCTTCCAGGAAGCCAGTTGCTGGGGAACCCAGCACTCGAAGGTGTTTTGAAGCCAAAAACGCACTCATGCAATATCATGCAATCATACCCTCAAGACATCGCACCGACGCACCGACCCCCACCACGACATCGAACGTCGGAACGGTCACGGTTGGAACCATGGCCCCGTGGCCATGAAACGAGCTCCCAGAAGCTGAGGCCTGCTCGCGAGCGTAGGTTGGAGGCCATCGCTATACTAGGGTGTAGGCCATCGCTAGTAGGGTGGAGGCCGGTGGAGGCCATCACTACTAGTTTGGAGGCCATTCGGAGGCCATCGCTTGCCTGGCCAAACCACTGAGGCTCCCAGAAGAACCGCCGACCGAGCCGACCCTTCCCCCGCCCGACGCGACCGAGGTCTGAGCTCGAACGAGGCGGAAGGCGAGGTCTTGAAGAAGTTGCTTTGGAACGCTTTGGGCCACCTCGGCTTGCAAAATGGGAGAGCAGATGGTGGAAGTACTGGCAGAACTGGTGAGGGGGAGCAGATGTATATCATGAAGCTGGAGGTTTCGTTTATTATAAGGCGTGTTGCCTTATATTATATAATGATCATATGAATCATATATGATCTCAACATTTCGAGAAGAAGCAGATGGAATGACACCAGATTTGCTCCAGCCCGCCGCAGCCAAAGCCAGAAACCAAGACTGACCTGTTTTGAGCTAAAATAATGCAAGACTGCTTGATGTCCGCAAATACGTCTCCAGAAGTGTATTTAATAGAATGTATTCTAATTGTTTGAATGTGTGCTATTGTTGGTTATATTGATATCTATACATGTTATTCTTCACACACACATATGTATGTAAATATATATATATGTATATATCAATTGGTGTTGTTATTGTACATGTATGTGTATATATATATATATATATTTGTTTAAAACAACATATATTGTATATTATTGTATTACATGTAGTTTAAACATACATGGTTTCAACATACTCTCTTAATATGGAACGTTGGAACCTCCTCCACCGTGGCCGGCTCCACCGTGGCCACCGAGGTTTGGATCAGAGCTCGGTGGCTCCGGTGAGCGCCCTGGGCGAGCCGGACGACCCCAAGCTGGCCAAGCCGGAGCGGTGGTGCCGGTCGTGCCGGTCGTGCGCGGTGGGTTCCACCTTGAAGACTCGAAGACAGAGATGGGGAGATTTCTGGCACATAGATTAGATTAGATTAGTATATAGTCGATCACAGATAGATGGCATTTGGCCAGCACCTATTAAACGACCATCTAAGACGAAAAAAACCCTCCTCAGGACTCCAACGTGAACACAAACACTAAGATGGCACAGTTGCAAATGCAGTCGCACATCGTCGTTTTATTTGCCGACATTTCACGCGATTACAGCTGACAAGAAAGATATGCACATAGATG